AATGTTTATCAGTACATTACAGAAAATAATGAACTTCATCACAATATGCTAATTTTTTGAGAATAACCTGTATATTGAGCTCTGAAAGCACTCAATTTACCAAACCCTACACCATTAACATGCACACCGAGTGAATACAGATCCTTCATTTTTGGCACAACCACCATGAAGATGTCAGAGTGCACAGAAGCAGAAAGTGTTTATGTCAAAACTGGAATGCTTCATTACCTTCAGGTGATGCCGGAGAAAACTACAATTTCACTCAGTTAAAATCATCTACTAGTAAATCTTGAAATATTTTTCTCTGATCTATCTATCTATCTATCTATCTATCTATCTATCTATCTATCTATCTATCTATCTATCTATCTATCTATCTATCTATCTATCTATCTATCTATCTATCTATCTATCTATCTATCTATCTATCTATCTATCTATCTATCTATCTATCTATCTATCTATCTATCTATCTATCATCTATCTATCTATCTATCTATCTATCTATCTATCTATCTATCTATCTATCTATCTATCTATCTATCTATCTATCTATCTATCTATCTATCTATCTATCTATCTATCTATCATCTATCTATCTATCTATCTATCTATCTATCTATCTATCTATCTATCTATCTATCTATCTATCTATCTATCTATCTATCTATCTATCTATCTATCTATCTATCTATCTATCTATCTATCTATCTATCCATCTATCTATCTATCTATCTATCTATCTATCTATCTATCTATCTATCTATCTATCTATCATCTATCTATCTATCTATCTATCTATCTATCTATCTATCTATCTATCTATCTATCTATCTATCTATCTATCTATCTATCTATCTATCTATCTATCTATCTATCTATCTATCTATCTATCTATCTATCTATCTATCTATCTATCTATCATCTATCTATCTATCTATCTATCTATCTATCTATCTATCTATATATCTATCATCTATCTATCTATCATCTATCTATCTATCTATCTATCTATCTATCTATCTATCTATCTATCTATCTATCTATCTATCTATCTATCTATCTATCTATCTATCTATCTATCTATCTATCTATCTATCTATCATCTATCTATCTATCTATCTATCTATCTATCTATCTATCTATCTATCTATCTATCTATCTATCTATCTATCTATCTATCTATCTATCTATCTATCTATCTATCTATCTATCTATCTATCTATCTATCTATCTATCTATCTATCTATCTATCTATCATCTATCTATCTATCTATCTATCTATCTATCTATCTATCTATCTATCTATCTATCTCTCTCTCTCTCTCTCTCTCTCTCTCTCTCTCTAATCATAATAACAACAATAGTACTACAATGACTACTACAACAACAACAACTACTACTACTTCTACTACTACTACTACTACTACTACTACTACTACTACTCATCATCATCATCATCATCATCATCATCATCATAACATTAATAGTATTACTTCCACTACTTTAGTGTTGTTTAAATAAAAAATTTCAAACCCTAATGTATTCATCAGCCTTTGAATGAATTTTTCCTTATGCTACATCGTCTCTACTGTAATCTCTGATGTATTTGCTCAACCTTAATTGTTTATTTTCCTTTTAGCTCAAAATTATGATTGTATTTGTGTATATTTGAATTTGTGTTCTTGTTTGTTGTTGTTGTTGTTGTGCCATTTCTTGCTAATTGTAAAGCACATTTAATTGCCCTGTGTTTGAAATGTGCTACATAAATAAAACTGCCATGCCTTGCCTCACTACTAATACTGCTAATAATAATAATAATCATCATCATCCTCATCATAATAACAACAACAACAATAGTACTGCCACTACTACTACTACTACTACTACTACTACTACTAATAATAATAATAATAATAAGCAAGCCTTTGTGGGATTATTTTTAAAGCGTAACCACCATGATAAAAGGGACTGTATTAGTCATTGTTTGTATGACTGAGGGTTCTAATTAGGCAGAACACTTCTTTTCCATGTCATTAAACCAATCAAATAACTGAAAAAACACATGAAGCTGCTTTAAAGACAGATTAGTGTTCCAACGACATATATTCACACATCCAACAGCAGTTTGAACCTATTGTGTTTATTTTTTGTTTAGTTTTTTTCACTTGAAAAGTCCCTGATGACTTCCGTCCTCTGCTTCATTTGCTGTGAGAAGTCTGATTTATTTTACACTCGTGTGTGTAGATTAGGGGAACACTTGGCAGATGATAAGATGGGAACAGCTTGTCTAGCGTCATTATGATCATGCTGTTAAAGTCTTCTGCAGCACAAAAGTCATAATTATATAATCTGCTGTCAAACATGAAGCACAGCAATATGTTTTGTTTTATTTTCATGGAACCCTTTCAGTCTTGGCAGATATTAATGAGTCCTCATGTACTGCTACCACAGTCCTCATTTCCCAGGAAGCGTTTGCATCATGAAGTCCCTGATCTCCACACGGGGATGGTATCTGCCTGAGCTGTAATGAAATGTGTGGAGACTGTTTTCCCTGCAGCACTTGAACGAGTTGATCAACTTAGCATCAGAGTAAGCTAATGCATAAAGATGATGTTGCTGCAGAGATGCTTCAGCCTAATTGGGCTTAGAAAAGTCGCAGACTTAAAAGAAAAGGGAAAAGAGACACTTTCAACCAAGATTCTCGCCCCACACCCCTCCTCATAAGTATATTTAAATATTGTTATTTTCCTCAGAATTGTTCACAATATAACTACGGAGGATGTAAACAATTATACAGCTTCATATGTTACATAAACTATTGTTTCTCAGCAGTATGTTGAAATTTAACATGTTTGCAAACATTAATGCAAATCATCTATGAAGTGTGCTTTAAAAAGACTTTGGATCTAAAAAAAAACACCAAAACTCAGAGCAGTAGTCTGGTCACATGATCTGTTAATGACTGGTAAGACTGTACTGGGGTTTAAGTTTGTTTTTGTACTCAGTTTCTTTTGTGTCCTTGTGGTAAGACAAAGGATGACATTCTAATTAGAACAAAGGACAGTTATTTTTCTCACTAGAAAATCATTTGGAGCACTGTGAAATCTGATTAAATAAGAATCAAATGCAATTTTTTGGTTGATATTCAAAGTAAAATTAAACTTGAGGTGTGCATGCTCATTATCTGCATTCAATGCTTCTATCCATGGATCGTAAATGGTTTTTAAAGTGAGAATCAAGGCACATATTTCATCCACTTTTCCTGTTAGGAAAACGCTTCTGAAAGAGGCGTCGCCTGGCAGACCGAGAGAGCGGCACTGAGACAGTGATAGATCCCCCCCCCCCCCCCCCCCCCCACACACACACACGTGTGCTGTCGGAGTTTCTCAGTCTAGAAACTAGTTTTTAACGACACAAGACTTACCGCTCAGGAGAAAAGCAGACACAGATTCTGCAGCATTCTGGAGGATTTCCTGTTAAACGCGATCATTAGATGAAAAGGGGAGGAGGACCTTGTTTCGAGAAGGCAAGCGGTTCAGAGCGCCAACGTGTCACATCGGCAGGTGAGTGGCTGAGCCAGGTGGAGGTGCGGCTTCCTCACCTGGAGACCAGTGAAGTGCAGCCACGTAGTACGTTGATGAAAACGTCACGGTTTCCAGCCTAGCCATCAGCCACAGCTGGTTCTACATGAATGTAGAGCAGAGTTTTTAACCTGAAGATGGAAATGTAATTATGGTTTTGGGCTGAAATATTACATTTAAACTAAGTTGCACTAAACTGCCACACTAATGAGTACACATGTGCACAGCACCATTAGACACTCATCTATACAGATTATCAGCAAAAAATAAGTTAATTTAGGTGTTACTTACTCTTTAAAAAGAACAACATGAAATAATGTTAAAATTGTGCTGCAGATGTTTATTTCAGGGTTGTATCGCAAGCACAAGAGATTAAAAACAATAAATTATTCTGGCAATCATAAAGGACAGGAATAATTAATCACTCAGAAAAATAATAAAAAACAGCTTCAATAGATTAATTTATAATTCATTCATTCGCTGATCAAATGCCGTTAAGTGCATAAATGCTAGGTCACATTGACAAGTTACTCTTTTTTTGTTTGTGTGTGATTTCTATCCTATTTGCATTGTGTTGTGACTGAGCGAATAATGTCAAATTGATGCTGATGTTTTCCTAATTTGTTGCAGGGTCACCCATTTACACATGCTCCACCAAACACAGTAAACAAATAAAAAAATCGTGTCTTGCTTGACATGCTACCCCGACTCGACTGAGATTAAAAGAGGTCCTTGAGAAACCATTTGTTACTAATTATTTGTGATCATATTTGGTCTACGTCACACTGTCACTTAACATTCATGGACTCACCCATCTTGTCACACGACGGGGAAGGCTGTTGTTAGCCTAGCATCCAGGAATCAGCAGAGAACGTAGAAGCTAACTGTTAGCATTAGCAACTCCACAACATGGCAGAACTCCTTCAAGCTTGTGTTATTTGTGAAGATAAAACATCATCATTGCAGAGCAAACAGAGTCAGTGGTACAGTCGTTCTGCTGTTATTCAATCAAGCAAGATGTCCGAATATCAGGGAATAAAACTTCAAATCCTGTCATCTGAAGCCACTTTCTCAGTGCTAAAACAGGTGCACTGGAGCTTTTTTTCCCCTTGAGTATGACTTACAAGGCATTCATTCCTACAGACACCACTGCAAATGTAATAAAAACATGAATGAAAGACCTCTTTAATAAAGTAAAGTAATATATATATATATATATATATATATATATATATATATATATATATTAGGCCACAATTCAAACAGTAATTTCCTTTTTCTGCTTTTGCAATCTGGAATCATGCCTTTAAGCTTCTCTGCCTTAAAATGGTGCAACCCATTCCATTCATGCTAAATGAACTCTCTTGAAGGTCCACAATGCAAAATTATATAAATAAACAGCAAAACTGATCTCAATGAAAGTTTTTCTGTCATTTATTTCACAGAGGCAGTTTCTCAGAAATCAGTGCTTTTGCTTTTGAACGTCATCTTCATCCTGAATGTGAAAAGCACACAGTCACACAGCTATTTGAACACTTTTTGGCACATTTTGCTCCCACTGCCAAATACAAATGCATTGAATTTCACATGGGAGCTCTAAGAACAAAGTGCTCTCAATAACTCTGCACCTCATTGCCACACACACACACACACACACACACACACACACACACACACACACACACACACACACACACACACACACACACACACACACACACACACACACACACACACACACGCGTGGGGGTGGGGTGGGGTGGGGGGTAAACAGAAACCCACTTGCAGTTTATGTACATTTGCTTCAGCTTGCATATTTCCTGTTTTCTGTACCACACACTAAATAAGTTCGTAAAAAAGTTATAAACATTGTTTTAAAACTGCTACACATGTCATGTGAATACAAAGTGACAGCCATCCACATACACACAATAACATTAAGTCCTTCTTTTTTGTTTAACAATGTCCTCAGACTCTCCATCAGCACCTCAGCTGGAACTGGCCCAGAATAAGGAATCTAAAACAAAAACTACACCATGGAAATTCCCACCCTGTCAGGTGTCATGGGCCCTGTTTTTACAGAGATCCACAAGTCCTCACTGTTTGAACTCTTGTTCCTCGTCTCTGACCTTGAGGCATCTGCACAGCAGCAGCCACAACAGCAGCTGTTGGCATGGCGACAGCAGCAGCAGTGGCAGCACACCACCACTGCCGTTAGGAGGACCAGCAGGGGCAGCGTCAGGAGGACAACCAGGCAGATAGTATTGTACGACCCCTGGTTGTGTTTGTCTATAGCAAAGCTCCAAATTTGATTGAAAAATTCCTGGATGCTGCTGAACGTCCCTTCCATGACTTCAGGCTGCAGAGCTGCAACACTTAAAAAAAGTCAAAAACTTTTAATGAATCCTTTGAAGAGATGGGAGAAAAGACACCAAAGGAATTAAGATTGGATCATTTGAGTCATTTAAAGTTTAAAAGTGGAAAATTATGTTTAACTTCAGCTTAAACCATGTACTGTCAGCCCAGGGAATTCTGGTGACTTCATGAACTCCCAGATAAGATGGCTGCCCTGCAGCACGGCCTGTTCTGATTTCTGTGTTCAGGCGTGTGGGTTTTATGTCAAAACTTCATGGACGCCTGCAGATCCGTTTTGTCTTAAAAAAAAAAAAACAAAACTTGTTTGTTGAAGTGTTTTCCTTAAAATTGCCCAGCTGTTGTGCTCTGATCTTTAGGAAATCTTGGGCCGTGTTTGTTTACACAGGTCCGCATTCCACTGTTTTCTCAATCCTCCTCCTGTCCTCCTGCCCTTCGGTGCATGCTTTTGTTTTGTCGAGTTGCTCATTTGGGGCGGCTGTAAAAAAAAAAAAAAAAAGAAAAGAAATGAAAAACATTAACAAGGACAGAGATTTATGTTTTCTAGACAAGACTTTCTTGCTCTCTTTAGTTTTCCCTGCCTCCTATTGGTCTTTTCTTTCACCTCTCTCCTGCCTCTTGTCAGTGTCAACTTAGAATTTTGTGTCTCAGTTTTCCTTTCATTAATATTGCAAAGGAGTCATTGAGGATTCAGGGCAGATTCCTCCGAGAGCCTCGCAGAGGAACACTGCGGTAAAGCGATTGAAAAACTGAGAAAAAGATCGTGTCTGAGGGACAACGAGGCCAAGAGCGAGGTAACCAATCTTTCTAAGAGTCCCGCTGAGATGGAGTGTCAGAAAAACAGGAAAAGGGCTAAAAAAAAACATCTTGAAGGGGATTTACTGACTACGCCGATTACAATGTTTGAATATCTGGTCTTTAAATGAGTAACTGTAATATTTCCATTTGATTTGTTTAAATTACTGTTTAACAGATTTCAATAAAGTACTTTTCACTGGGGAAATTGAAAATAATAATTTTCAAATAAAACAAATGGCATCTCTTTGTAATGAAAACACAAGCTGTTTGATTAAGTCTGAAGCCTCGAGGGAACATTTTTATTTAAACTGCTTTTTTTTTCAACCCCATTTAACTCAAGTGCTCTGTTTTAGATGCTCCGCTGCTCTTAGCCACAGACACTCTGTGTTCTATTTGCAGGAAGGAGGAACGATTTTTATCTTGCATCTCATAGATGCACCTGCAAGACGGGAGCAAATAGATTAGGTTTGGCTGTCATCATACGTTGCATCTCATGTGTGAAATAAGTTTACCCGCAGAAAGCTGCTAACTTCCCTCCTGCTCGTTTGCTCAACAGGAAGCTGCTCATTTGAAGTAAAGCACCGTCTTGAGTTTAGATGGAAACTGTTGTTCGAGGAAATAGAACTGATCTGAAATAAAACACCTTTTTTGACGACATGAAGCCCTTTGCTTATGTTAGGTTAGGTTTATTAAAGTGATCTGTGGAAAAATCTTAGTGAAATTTTACTGACATAATTTTATGTATACACATTATTTGCAAGGGTATAGAGCTGGTCCACAGTTCCACGGCCAGGACGAAAACCACATTGCTCCTCCTCTATCTGAGCTTCAACTATCGATCGGACCCTCCTCTCCAGTACCTTGGCGTAGACCTTTCCAGGGAGGCTGAGGAGTGTGATCCCCCTATAGTAGGAACACACCCTCAGGTCACCCTTCTTAAAGATGGGGACCACCACCCCGGTCTGCCACTCCCTAGGAACTGCCCCCGATGACCACGCAATGTTGTAGAGACGTATCAACCATGACAGCCCTACAACATCCATAGCCTTGAGATACCCAGGACGAACCTCATCCGCCCCCGGGGCTCCGCCGCTGTGTAGTTGTTTGACTACCTCAGCAACTTCTGCCCCCGAGATCGGACAGTCCATCCCCAGGCCCCCCAGCTCTGGTTCCTCCTCGGAATGCGCATTGGTGGGATTGAGGAGCTCCTCAAAGTATTCCTTCCACCGTCCGACTATAGCCTCAGTTGACGTCAGCAGCTCCCCATCCCCACTGTAAACAGTGTGAGCGAGTTGCTGCCTTCCTCTCCTGAGGCGCCGGACAGTTTGCCAGAACCTCTTTGGAGCCGATCGATAGTCTTTCTCCATGGCCTCACCAAACTCCTCCCACGCCCGAGATTTTGCCTCGGCAACTGCCACTGCTGCACGCCGTTTGGCTATCCGGTACCTGTCTGCTGCCTCCGGAGACCCACAGACCAGCCACGCCCTGTAGGCCTCCTTCTTCAGCCTGACGGCTCCCCGAACCTCTGGTGTCCACCAGCGGGTACGGGGGTTGCCACCACGACTGGCACCGGCCACCTTACGACCACAGCTAGCAACAGCCGCCTCGACAATCGCAGAGTGGAACAAGGCCCACTCGGACTCAATGTCCCCCACTGCTCTCGGGATGTGGTCAAAGCTCTGCCGGAGGTGGGAGTTGAAGACCATCTTGACAGGTTCTTCTGCCAGGCGTTCCCAGCAGACCCTCACTATGCGTTTGGGTCTGCCAGGTCTACGCGGCATGTTCCCTTGCCATCTGATCCAACTCACCACCAGGTGGTGATCAGTTGACAGCTCCGCCCCTCTCTTCACTCGGGTGTCCAAAACATACGGCCGCAGGTCAGATGATACGACTACAAAATCTATCATCGACCTGTGACCTAGGCTGCCCTGGTACCAAGTGTACCGGTGGGCATCCTTATGTTCGAACATGGTGTTCGTTATGGCCAAACTGCGGCTTGCACAGAAGTCCAATAACAAAACACCGCTCGAGTTCAGATTAGGTGGGCCGTTCCTCCCAATCACACCCCTCCAGGTCAAGCTGTCATTGCCCACGTGAGCATTGAAGTCCCCCAGCAGGACAATGGAGTCCCCTGATGGAGCACTATCTAGCACTCGTCCCAGGGACTCCAAAAAGGGTGGGTACTCTGAACTGATATTTGGCCCATAAGCACAAACAACAGTCAGGACCCGTTCCCCGACCCGAAGGTGCAGGGAAGCTACCCTCTTGTCCCCCGGGGTAAACCCCAACACACAGGCAGAGAGTCTCGGGGCTAACAAAAAGCCAACCCCAGCCCTCCGCCTCTCACCCGGAGCAACTCCAGCAAAGTAGAGTGTCCAACCCCCCTCCAGGTCTCGGGTTCCAGAGCCAATGCAATGTGTCGAGGTGAGTCCGACTATATCTAGCCGGTACAGCTCAACCTCTGCCACAAGCTCCGGCTCCTTCCCCGCCAGCGAGGTGACGTTCCATGTCCCAAAAACTAGTTTTCTTGTCCGGGGATTGGACCGCCAAGGCTCCCGCCTTGGTCTGCCACCCGACTCGCATTGCACCGGACCCTTCATGTTCCTTCTGCGGGTGGTGGGTCCACAGTTGGACGAGCCCATGTATCCGGTTCGGGCTGGGCCCGGCCGGGCCCCATGGGCGAAAGCCCGGCCACCAGGCGCTCGCTCACGGGCCCCAACCCCAGGCCTGGCTCCACGGTGGGACCCCGGTAACCCTCCGGGCCGGGTACTCCGACTCTTCGTTTTATCCGCCATGAAAGATCCTTCGAACCGTTCTTTGTCTCACCCTTCACCTAAGACCAATTTGTCATGGGAGACCCTACCAGGGGCACTAAGTGCCCCAGACAACATAGCTCCTAGGATCATTAGGGCACTCAAACTCCTCCACCACGATAAGGTGACGGTTCAAGGGAGTTTGCCCAACCAATCCACATGTGCTTTGTGGATTTGGAGAAGGCTTATGACCGTGTCCCCAGGGGCACCCTGTGGGGGACGCTCCAGGAGTATGGGGTGGGTGGCTTTCTGTTAAGGGCCATTCAGTCCCTTTACCAGAGGAGCGTGAGTTTGGTCCGCATAGCCGGTAGTAAGTCGGACATGTTCCCAGTGAGGGTTGGACTCCGCCAGGGCTGCCCTTTGTCACCGGTTCTGTTCATCACTTTTATGGACAGAATTTCTAGACGCAGCCGTGGTGTGGAGTGTGTCGAGTTTGGTGGCAGGAGAATCTCGTCTCTGCTTTTTGCGGATGATGTGGTCCTCCTAGCTTCATCCAGCTCTGACCTTCAGCTCTTGCTGGGTAGGTTCGCGGCCGAATGTGAAGCGGCTGGGATGAGGATCAGCACCTCCAAATCTGAGACCATGGTTCTCGACCGGAAAAGGGTGGCTTGCCACCTCCGGGTCGGGGGAGAGGTCCTACCTCAAGTGGAGGAGTTTACGTATCTCGGGGTCTTGTTCACGAGTGAGGGTAGGAGGGATGGGGAGATCGACAGGCGGATTGGTTCGGCGTCTGCAGTGATGCGGACGCTGAGCCGATCTGTCGTGGGGAAGAGGGAGCTGAGCCAGAAAGCCAGGCTCTCGATTTACCGGTCGATCTACGTCCCAATCCTCACCTATGGTCATGAGCTTTGGGTAATGACCGAAAGAACGAGATCGCGGATACAAGCGGCCGAAATGAGTTTCCTCCGTAGGGTGGCCGGGCTCAGCCTTAGAGATAGGGTGAGGAGCTCGGACATTCGGGAGGGACTCGGAGTAGAACCGCTGCTCCTCCGGATCGAAAGGAGCCAGTTGAGGTGGTTTGGGCATCTGGTCAGGATGCCTCCTGGACGCCTCCCCGGGGAGGTGTTTCGGGCATGTCCTGCCGGCAGAAGGCCCCCGGGTCGACCCAGGACACGTTGGAGAGGTTACATCTCCAATCTGGTCCGGGAACGCCTTGGGGTCCTGCCGGAGGAGCTGGTGGACAAGGCCGGGGAGAGGACGGCCTGGAGCTCCCTAATTGGGATGCTGCCCCCGCGACCCGGACCCGGATAAGCGGAGGAAGACGAAGACGAAGACGAAGACACATTATTTGCTAGAAGGCACTAAAACTGACTAATTTGTGAGCGATGAGGCTTGAATGTCACTCGTCAGAGAAGAAAAATCATGTACAAAGTAAACAGAAACAGACACGCAGAAGAGATGTCAGTTCTTTAAACTGTACTAGACATATTAGAACACTGAGACAACTTTAATAACTTCTAGAATCCGTCTTACACAAACTAAATAACACATTTTAAAATTCAACACGTTATTGCTTAATAAAAGGCTGTTTTTTTTTACTTCTTTACCCCTAAAATCTTAACAAAAACCAACATACAGTAAGATAAACTGTACAAATATGTCCAAGGGACTCTCCAAAAATATCTTCATTCTACTTTATATAGTAGGACTTTATCTCCTCCCTCAAAGCTATCTCCTGACTCAGACAAAACAGAACATAAAGTTCTGGTTTTACACCCAGAATTAACATGCAGCTCTCCTGTTTTAAATCTAATGATGTCATGTGTGAGATAAATCAGTCAGCCACAGAAACCAAACAATACTCTATACACTCACATCTCTTATTTAGTACTTTTTTAAAATTTCCATCTTAATTGACTTCAGGGACTTTTTGCATGACATCCATTTATACATCACAGTGCATAGGATCATACTTTAAAAGAGTTTTCTTCTCAACCTACACATAAAAACACAGAACAGAATGAAGTACTTTGGCTGGAGAGCTCACTATTTATTTGGTCCTCATAGGGCTCCAGGTAGTCACTGTTTTTATTTGGTGACTTGGTGTGTACAACACTCTACATGGACCAGGGGAAGCGAATGAAAGAGTTGTCTCAGAAGATCAGAAAGAAAATTATAGACAAGCTTGTTAAAGATAAAGGCTGTAAGATCATCTCGCAGCAGCTAGATGTTCCTGTGATTACAGTTGCACATATTATTCAGACATTTCAGACCCATGGGACAGTAGCCAACCTCCGTGAACATGGCTGCAGGAGGAAAATTTATGACAAATCAAAAAGACGGATAATCCCAATGGAAACAAAAAGCCCATAACCTCTTGTAAAGGTGAACTTTTGAGATTGCATCATCTGTCATTGTTCGAGCAAAAGTGGACTGCATGGGAGATGACCAAAGAGGACAACCTCGTTGAAAACAAATCATAAAATAGCCACACTACACGTTGACAAGCCAAAACGCTTCTGGGAGAATGTCCTATGAACAGATGAGACAAAAATGTAACTTTTTACCAAGGCACATCAGTTCTATGTTCACAGGTGGAAAAATGAAGCATATCAAGAAAATAACACTGTCCCTATTGTGAAACATGGAGGAGGCTCTGTTATGTTCGGGGCTGCTTTGTTGCATCTGTTGGAATCTGTGCAGGGTACAATGAAAGATCAAGATTATCAAGGGATTCTAGAGAGAAATGTGCTGGTCAGTGCCAGAAAGCTTGGTCTAAGTTCATGGGTCTTGCAAAAGGACAGTGACCCAACACACAGCTAAAAACACCCAAGAACGGCTTAAAGGAAAACATTGGACTATTCTTCAGTGGTCTTCTATGAGTCCTGACCTCAATCCTATTGAGCATCTTAGGAAGGAGCACAAACATGCTGTCTGGAAAAGGGTCCCTTCAAACCTGAGACAAATGGAGCAGTTTGCTTATGAGGAGTGGGCCAAAATACCTGCTGAGAGGTGCAGAAGTTTCATTGACAGTTACAGGAATCGTTTCAAAATGTTGTGCAACTAAATAATGAGTTGGGGGTATACCATCATTTTAGTCCAAGCCTTATCTTTAAGTTTTTCTTTTTTTATATAATTCTGTTGAAGCATGGTTAAAAAGTAATGACTGACTTTAATTGGTGACATTTCATAGAATTTTTATTTATTATTACTGTTTTCAGATTCAAGTTATTTCTGTGACCATTGTGGGTTTTCCTTTCATTGACCAAAGGGTACCAACAATTTTATTTACATATTTATGTGTGTGTGTGTGTGTGTGTGTGTGTGTGTGTGTGTGTGTGTGTGTGTGCGTGCGTGCGTGTGTGTGTGTGTGTGTGTGCGTGCGTGTGTGTGTGTGTGTGCGCGCGCGCGTGTGTGTGTGTGTGTGTGTGTGTGTGTGTTGTTTTAACTATGTGACTGAGATGCCAATGTGCCGCTCCCCCAGCCTCCTCATTTTCTACTTTCTCATGAACCGGGATCTCCTTAAACCAATCACATACAGGAAAGACCCATTTCTAGAGCACACAAAGCCAGGAAGGGGCTGAGAAGAATGTTATGATTGCACTAAATTGGCCTCAGCTGCTTTTTTGAGGAGCATGTGTGACCTAAAAGGGAAAAGTTGTGACAGAAGGCATGGCAGGAATCATTGATGATTGGCCCCAAGCGCTCATACTCAGTAACAGATCCCTCACCAGTCACAATTAATGAACAGGGGGCACTGACACGTTTGTTACAAAGTATGTCACCAAATCATTTTCTAATTAATTTTTTTTTCTTTTCAAGAGAAAATTTAGTCATAGACCATAGATGCTATGTTTTCTGTCACTGATAGTTTCTCCATGGTTAGCAGGAAAATATTTGCAAGCTAATTACACCTCAGACTTGTACGAACCTGATTCTAACATAGGAAAATAGAAAAATTAGAGAAGATCTAGCGACAGGTACTCAAAAAATGTATACATACACTATTAATATGTTTTTTTTTCTTGATGTGTCAAATAAATAAACGGACATTTCAGAGTTGGTTTGTTTAACCTCAAAAGTACGAGATAATTAAGAACTAGAGTGCTCAAAGGCAGGAAGAAACCCATCATGTTTTTGTTACAACTTGTCAAAAATCCTGTCAAATCCAACCACTGTCAAAATGACAAGACTTTATTTAAATGTAGTCCGGCACAAAACCGTCAACTTTCTGTTGATTCACTCCTACGAAGCATCGCCCACTTATATAAACCACTTAGAGCAGTTTCAGAGAATTTACGGGCACTCAGGATGTCTCTGAAAGCGGCACCTTACCCTGCAGGCGCTCCTGTAGCAGCAGGTCAGATCTCCCCTCCTGTCTGATCCAGTCAGCTGCTCAGACTTCTGTTGTCTCTGAGTTGGCACCTGGCTTCTGTTCTGTTCTGGACTCCCTCACTCAGACATCTTGACAAGTCTTCACTTCTGTTCCTGTTTCCCCCCTACTCGTGTTTTCCGTCCTCCTCCCCTTCTCCTCCTCTGAGTGTGTGCGTGTATGTGTGTGTGTTTTGGTCACAGCGTCACTACACCCTGCCCACTTTGTCTAAGAATGGGCCCTCTGTTTTTTGCTTGTGTTTCCTGCATGACGTACTGCATTCTTGTGGCTACTTTCTTAATTTGTGCCCACACCACATGCTGAACACGTCACACAGGCAGAGCAGAAATCCAAGGTGAGCTAAACAAGAACCAGAAAAATGAAAGAAACATGAATTTTTCTATTTGCCACGTTAAACAGAGAAGCATCTTTTCCTATGACACTGATTTGCAAAACTTGCAACACCAGCGTGCTGCAGGAAAGGTGGAGACAAGTTGCACAATGACACCAAATAGCACCCCTCCCATCCCAGAGCCCCAAAACGAAAATCTAAAAATGAGAAATGAAAGCTGTGTAAGTGCTGTAAAAAACAGCAGGTGAAGAAGTCAGATGAAAGCAAAGCCCGACAGAAGGATGTCATGTAGCTGTCTCTCTGCAGCCTGTGGCGTTGTGGTCAATGCTCTCTGAGGTCAGTCAAGCAAAAGAGGGTTTTTATTCAAGTAAGAAATAGGGTAAAAACTCTCTGAGGGGAGCTCTCATTTAAAGTGCATTGGCACGTGCTTTAAATATACTCACGTACTATAATGTGAGGCTGAGTGAACTCACACACCTCACAACCCGATGCTGCTTGATAAAAAATGTACTTCTGCTACTGTTTTTGGACGCACCTCATCTCGTAATCTAAAAGAAACAGACCTCCTATCTATCTGACTGACTGAACGTAGTCCCTCTACAGTCTACAGGGTGTGGTTGCATCACATATTGCAGGTGTGTGTGGCTTTTCTCAGACTGGCAGGGCGTTTACTACCACACAGAGAAACTGCACCCCAGCTGCTGTCCAGGCTCCACGGTGCCCAGTCACCTCGAGAAAGTGTTGATTAATTGACTTCATGAGGCGATTTTTCCCTTGATGGAAATCCCTTTTTTTCAGGGTAGTTTAAATGAAAATATTTCCACTGTATACTCAATTTGCCACTTTGGATTGCCTCTCCTAAAACCTGCTTGTTGAAGAAGTCATGTTATATGCATGGAAACATATGCTTGGTTATTTTGCCCATTTTGCTTCATGAGGTAAATGTGCAAAGGGTGTTGGATGATGTGCACCAGGCTGCAGCAGCTGTCCTGAAGCAAATGAGCTGTAGTTACTGGATAAATGTATCACGGGGGATTTGGTTTTATAATCTTTTGCCCTTTCTTGGACGAAGCCTGCGTTTTTATTTTAAAATAAGCTCTCCGTTATCCCCTCTCCTCCCTCAACGGACACGGCGAGTTCAACTCCTGCTGCACTGACCCTAATATGTGTCCCATTTCCTCTGCAGAAACCTTACTCTCAATTTATACAGCTTTGACCCTGTGCTGTAATGGGTGTAGCTGCCATCTGGTTTTCCACAGCGGAACTCACCTATGAAGGAAAAGCTCAGATATTACATCGCCTTTATCCTGCCTTGGTCCTTGGCTGAACAAATTGCAGGAAAGACCGCCAAGCTTATGTTGGATCACTGCTCAGACAATCATGATAACAAATAAAAAAGAAAATGTGTGTGTGTGTGTGTGTGTGTGACATTACTCGTGGAATTACTGGGCTGTGTAAAAGAGAGTTACTGATCTCAGCGACCTTCTGGCTCTGACAATCTACTGTACACTGGAACATGAGCCAGCATGAAGCTGGTGCCGTGCTCTCTAGTTCTTGAAAGCGAGTGCTAATGAAAAATGACTGTAATGGAATTGTGGCTGGATTTGGAAAAACGTCCAGGAAAAGCTTGCAGACTTAAGCTGTGATTCAGTTCTGGGAAATGTTTGGTCCCAGGTAACAAGTGAGACAGAAAACGAGGAGAAGCCTATAAAAGGAACTCTTTCTGCTCTCATGATCCATCACCAAAGAGCTAGTTAGCTGGCATGTAAACTAGCTTCTTTTAAAAGGGCCCCTCGCTGCACATGAAGTCAGTTTAAACTTCTGATGACGTGATCGTTTCAGCATAGTTCTCACATGACTCGCTCGGTTCTTTTGGACGTTATGTCAAACATTTTTGTCTCGGCTTGCAGGGAAGAAGCATTAAAATCACTCTGATGTGCAAATAAACAGAATGTCTTCCACTTGTAATAGAAGAATAAGAATTTCCCAGAAGGCCACAGTTTAATCTGAAGGGACTTTTTCAGTTCCTCTTTCATAGTTCAGCAGTCCTAGCCAGAGAAGAGATAAAATAAGACACTGTGGGAATAAAGAGTCACTTGCATTTTTTTAATATTTGAGCTTTAGGTTGTCTGACAAAATGCAATTGAATAAAAATAGAACAATCAAAGAAAATAGGAACAAACAGAGCGGTGAGGTGGATGAATATGTGCACTGCAGAGATGACAAAGAAGATACATGCTGTGTCCAACAGGAGCTGTGTCATTATCTTCTCCATGCAGACTTTAGTTTTTTTCTGTGAAGAAAAAATGACAGAAAGTTCAGGAAAGACTGTGACATGACTTCTAAAGTCAGACAGCGATTAAGTAAAACATGAATGCACTTTCCTGTTTTTTTTAGTGTGTGTTGAAAATGCTCCTTAGCAAAATATCTCATGAACCAACAGTTGGATTTAAAAGTGACTGTTTTGGACGTACATCTAAAATAGATTTTCTTTTGTATTCTGAACCTAACGCATGTAGGATGCCACAGCCTATCAACGTTATCAAATATAAAAAATTTCTTTTTTTTAAAATTCTGTCAGTTTACGTGGTTGAGGATGAAACACAGCCCCAATCCATACGGTTGCATGCCATCTCCAAGTTTAGGTCCTCCACCACCTCTCTTACCCATGGTGTCCCACAAGGTTCTGTGCTGGGGCCTCTGCTCTTCCTCTTCTATCTGCTTCCTTTTCAGCACATCCTGAGGATGCTGTTATTTATTTCACACACACATTCACACGCTGGTGGGGATGACGGAGGCGAGGCTGCCGAGCACTGGCGCCACCAGTCCCTCCGACCACCACCAGCAGGCAACGTGGGTTAAGTGTCTTGAACTTGCCCAAGGACACAATGACAGCGATGAACTGAGCGGGGCTCGAACCTGCAACTTTCCGATTACGGGGCGAGCACTTAACTCCTGTGCCACCATCGCCTTCAAAGGAATCTCCTACCATCTTTACGCAGATGACATCCAACTGTACATCTTTAAGCCCCATGAGATGTCTAAGCTGCAGCTGTTACACACCTGCTTAGACTCTATCAAAGCCTGGATGGTGGGAGCTTTCTTCAGCTGAATGAAGATAAGACTGAGATCCTCATCTGTGCCCCAGACAAGCTGGTTCCCAACGTCAGAGACTCTCTTGGTCAGCTTGCTTCTCACACCAAACCCTCTGTCAGGAATCTTGTTGTGACCTTTGACCCAGCTCTCACCCTGGATTCTCATGTCAGTTCTCTTGTTCGCTCTTCCTTCTTCCATCTCAGGAACATTGCTAAGCTGAGTCCCATTCTGTCCCGCTCTGAACTTGAGACAGTTCTCCACACCTTCATCTCCTCACACTTAAACTACTGTAACTCTCTTTTCACGTGTCTGAGCAGAACCTCCCTGAACCGTCTACAGGTGGTTCAGAATGCCTGTGCTCGGCTTCTGACCAAGTCCTCCAAACACACCCACATCACCACGCTTCTCCTCCAGCTTCACTGGCTGCCAGTCAACTTCAGGGTTCATTTCAAGGTCCTGGTTCTGGTCTATAGGGCCTTACATGGACTGGCACCATCTTACACTGGTGATCTTCTTAGTCCCTACACACCCAGCAGGTCCCTGAGGTCCAGTGATCAAAGCCTGCTGGTTGTGCAGCGCACCAGGCTAAAGACCAAAGGTGACAGATCATTTGCTGATGTGGCCCCAGACTCTGGAACTCTCTCCCCCTGAGCCTGAGACCAGTGGACTCAGTGGTCTTCTTTAAAAATCAGCTGAAAACTAACTTGTTCAGGCTGGCTTTTGCGTGACCTTCATCAACCTCTCCTTTTTCTGCTCTCCCCACCTATTCCACCTTCCTCAGGATCTACTGATTTCCCTCTTTCCTAATCACTCTCTTTCTTTACATTTTTATCACAATTGTCCATTCTGTGGTCATTTTAAATATAGTTTTAATAATTTTCTAAATTGTATTTTATATTTTTACATTCACTGTTTTTGTGAAGTGCCTCGTGATTTTTATCTTGAGAGGTGCTATAGAGCTCCGGGAGTTGACGTCACTTCTCCCGGCATGCAACAGTTCAAATCGAAATGGCGCCATTTGGCAGGCAGAAGCCGGCAGCTGGACTATTTGTTATTGTCAGAAAACTCAATCAAATGGGAAATATGGTCCTGTTGTGCCCAGAATGCAGAACAGACGCGGACGACATAAGGAATGAGTCATCTACAGGATTCCCCAGGATCCGGAGCGCCGCAAACGTTGGATCATTGTAATAAAACCCACTAGTGACCGGGCGAAAATGAAGCTGTGGGACCCCGAGAGTAAAGGTTTTCACTTATGCAGCGACCGCTTCATATCAGGTACTTAAACCAACGTTTCCTCAACTGTGTATGGTATTTATTTTAAATGCTTTTATTACGATTCTTAGCGGGCTTCCTAAACTTATTTTGGCGTGGCTTTTTCTGTCTTATTACGCACAGCAGCAAGTAAACACCACGTAAAACATTGCCTCGTGAGTTCTGCGTGCTGCCGTTTCCGTGTTTTATGATGACAGCAATAAACCGGCTAAGCTGTATTTGATTTTTAAGCAATGGTTGATCATTTGTCAGATCACACATAAAAGCACTTTGGATTGCTATTATTTGTCTCACCGAGACTACTTACATGTAAATCTGTTATTTGTCCGTCCATCCATCCATTTTCATCCGCGTATCTGAAATCGGGTTGCAGGGGCAGTAGCGTGACTTCCCTCTCCCCAGCCGCCGGAGCCAGCTCCTCCAGGTAAATCCCAAGGGGTTCCCCGGTCAGGTCCGGT